CCCACATTACGGAGAGTAACATAGTGCAATTGATGGTTCCTTTCATTCCCTTTTTCTTACCATCTCGCTCTCTAGAGACAACACTTTGAGCTCATTTTGCATAAAACCATCAATTCTCAACAAACCACCCTCGTGTCCCTTAGAATTCGAACGAGCTAGCTAAGTATTTCGAGAACGAATACTCGCAGTGGAACAACGGCCGAGAGTCTATTCCCTGCGTCGAATTCTTAAAAGGTCTACCATCTAACATCAAATCATCAGCTTTATAGTACCTGCTCTGCACCTCTTCGTGGTACGAGGGAGTAACACCCTTGGGTGGCTAACGCAGACAGAGGGGACGGTAGACCGAAAACAGCTCTTCTGGCTTCGAGTCTTGATTTGTTTTTCAAGAGAAAATTTTCTTTTTCTTGGGACATTAATATACAGTGCTCATTTGAGCGACGAAATCGGAGCTTGGGAGCCGACGTTAGAGCCTAACTTAAAAACCTGATTGAAACCATTTGGACTTTAAGCCAAGGTCTCATTATGAGCGAGTGCGATCTTGAGGAAGGGGATTCCATCCCGGAGGACCTTGAAGAGTCGTTTGATCTTTCTCGGAAAGAGTGGTCCAAAAAGGCACAAGAGCTTAGTAAAGTGTTCCTAAACTTTATCAACCAACATGTAAACAAAAAACTGGATGTCACGAAAATGGTTGAATTAACAAAGATAGCTATGGACTACAACGACTTATTCCTTAGTCAAAGCGAAGTATTAGCGTACACTAAGGGGCTTCAAGATGAAGCACAAGAAGCTTTAAATAAAATAATCTGCAAAAATACTAAAAAGGTGAAAAGGACTTATGCTGAAATTACAAAGAGCAGCAGCAGTAAGGGAGCCTCCAGTGTGAAACCAGATCACGTAATAGTCGTGCGCCCAATAGTGCCTTGCTCCTCTGAGGAAACGGAAAAGTCACTCAAGGAAAAGATTGACCCAACTGAGCTCAGAGTGGGAATTAAAAAATTAAAAGAAGGCGGTATAGCAATCAGAACGTTGACTAAGAGTGATGCAAGGAAAATCAAAGAAGAATTTGAAGAGCAGGGTCTGGATAAAAATTTTAAATGTCAAATCCCAGCCATGAGACTCCCTAGAGTCATTTTATTTGATATAGATGAGACAATTAGCAAAGAAGAGCTCAAAGAAAAATTAGGAGATCAGAACAGTGAAATGGTCGATGGGAAATTTGAAGTTTGCTTCTCTATCAATGGCAAACAAGGGAAACATTGGGTGATCCAAACGGACCCTAGCGTCTTCAAGAAAATTATGAGAAGGACAAAACTTAAAATTGGTTGGTCCGTCCATCGGGCCAAGGAATATTTAAGACCACTTAGATGTTACAAGTGTAACACATACGGGCACATGGCTAAAGATTGCTTGAAAAATGAAAACTGCGGCGAAGAGGGACACAAGATGAACGAATGCAAAAATAAAAGTAAATGTTTGAATTGCGACTTCGCAAACAAAAAATACGGCTCCAAATTAAATACTAATCACACGGCAAGACAAAGATCGTGTCCATCCAACCAAAGAGCGATTGCAGTATTGAGAACAAGCATTTCATATTGATCATTCCCCAAATTTTGTGAGCTGACTATGGCGTCCTCCACCCTTTCCGGGTGCTCTCAATTTGTATTACAATTGTAATTCATATTTTTAATTCATTTTATTTGTAAGACCGACAGGTTGTCAGTCATCCTTTTGAAAAATTTTAAATAAAGTTCAGAATGGTTTCAGAGCCTTCCAGTCAGAGGGTGCCTCGATGGGTCGTGGCGTGGCGGTCGTCTCTCGGTGCAACACTCCTGGTGAGTCGTTCGCAGCTGAACATGGCACCGCCGCACCCGTCTCGGGCTTGTCCCTTCGGCCTCCTCTGTCCGTCGAACGACAGTGTTGCTCTCATCGGGCGTGACTCGGGGCCATGGAACCACGTGTCCATGCACCACTGGGTCCTCCGACTGATTCGAGGATTGCAGCTACGATAGTCTTCACGAATTTCCCGCTATGGGACGGGTCGGGGTTAAGCCAAGCTTTGCATAAAACCATCCATAATAATTTGGCCACTCAGCCTGAAAATGTCACTTCTTCAATTCGCGATCGCTACGCCATCTGGAGAGAAGACCGGTTCCATGGTTTGATCTTCCCTCTTATCAGTTCTATAAGAATTTTACTTACCCTTGCTTAATATTTTTCGATCCATTTATTTATGTTCAGTGCAGTTTTATGTTCCATATGGTTTCCTAACTGAAAAGCTTTTAATCTAATTAAAGAAACTAACGTACTTCTTTCTCTCATGACTCTCCACACGCTAACAGTGAAAGCATGCGAAGTGTTGCCATGGGTAGAGAGTTTTGCTCTACGCCACCTGTAGACCATTTCAATCGCCAATAGCGATGGTGGAGAGAAATCAAGGAAATAGGAAAAAAAAAAGCAAACTTGGGTATGTGTTTGTAATTAGATGATTTTATGTAAATAATATACTAATTGAACAATGATATACTAGATTCAAATTTAGATATGTTTCGAATTAATTACTCCAATTTCTGGCAAAGTTATTTGATGCACTATGAGATACCATGAAAAATCTTAATTATTAGGTGATGTTGTTTTTTTCTTTTTACGGGTCTGAAACCGGTTTGTACTTGTTTACGTTCCTGTATCAATGGGTTAACATATTAATGCAGTTCGTTAAAAATAAATACTAATAGGAAGTAGGTATATAAAAAAATCTCCTGAATAAAAGCCCATTACATGTACGTTTAAATACAAAAGTATTGCATATAAACTCGTGCAAAACAATACTACTACATTAAAAAACTACAGTGCATATAATAATTTGGTCGAATTATTATAAAATTTACTAATATAATACCTGATAGAATAAACTTTCGATATTTATAAAATATATCGCCTTGTGTATCCAATCGTCGAATTTATATCAAATATCGTATTTTTTTAACTAATTGATTCACGAACGTAAGCTAGTGCAAACCGGTTTCAGTCGCGTATAAACAATAAAGCTGTACAGTATCATCTGATAATTAAGATTTTACTAAGAATCGTATAGTGCCTCTAACAATTGGTAAAGTAATTTCGGGAAAGAAATCCAAACCTATGATTCGGATCTTCATCAGTATCGCTCTGAACTCATCGTTGTAATTATTTTTTACTTCCCTAATTAAATTGACAATCTTTTTTTTTTATTATCATTCTTTACAAAGTGATTGCAATTATTTCTATTTACAGTTTTTAAACACAAATGCACTTGATACATTTTATGGATGGGTGGTCTAATGTAAACAATAACAAGCGTCCTTAAACCGGAAGAAATTTAGAAAATTTCCGGTGTATCCCTCCGCTTATGTTATGACTACGAGGCGATGTGTGAACAAGCCTAATATTCTATGCAGATTTGTTACTGTAATTTAGGTTCAAATCTAAACATAATTGTACCATTCATAAAAGCTTTCAGAAATGTATTGATTCTCAGAGGTCGTAAGGCCAAAAAAAATTTTGGAAAGTTAATATCTCATTGTGAATAATTCTTAAGGTTTGCCATGTTTTGTATTTTATCCCTTATTTGGCTACATTTGAATAAAATGTCGCCAAAAATATCTTTAAAAATATCTTTTTAAGATGGCCTAATTAGAAAATATTCTAATGATTATAATATTAATATGATAATGATGAAGTTTAAAGGCTGAAAGAAAGAACTCGGTACATGTGAAATACTGTAAAAGATATGATGCAATAATGTGATGGCGCGTTTTTTCAATCTGCGGCGTAAAAATATATCGGAAGCAGTAACCCGGAAGTCTTGAAAGAACAATTTTACCACTAGCGCCACCACCCTTAGCTTTACACGATCACCCATCCATAAATTGGTTTTTCGATGCATAAATACTCTGAAACTGGCAAAATATTGGGAATTACAAATTATTATTTAGTAAGACAAATTTTACAAAGCACTTTACATACATTGGTACTCATACTAAAATATATAATCGTAAGAACTTTTACAGGGTTGTCACTCAAATCTGGAAAAAAAAAATCCTAATTATTCAACAAAAAATAAGAACCTTTTAAGCGCTTAAAAAAAAACATCATAACTAGGCCGGGTTGGAAAGTTTTTGACAATTGGCGGTTTTATCTTGTTTTAACCGTCATGCCAAAAGAAAAAAAAAAAACTTTTGGCATTGTTTTTGACAATTGTGTCAAAAATCATGAAGTTTTGAATCATGTAAAACGAATGGCGTTTTCATACGCTATGGACTGACAATATGTTGAATTATTTGTGAGAACGTTGAATAGAACAATGTAAACTGCGTCTTTTTGCATAATTTGTAGCGAAAATCAACATGGTAAAGGAAAAATCTCATTTTGAAAAAGGGAAAATTAAGCACTTTTTAAAAACATCCAACGAAAAAAGCACCTTTAAAAAACGCTACGCACCTTAAGAGATATTAAGAGGAAACAACAATTACTGTGTTTTTGTGTGAGGTATATTGGGCAAACTATATTTATTAGTTTTAATTGCTGAAAAAACAGCTGAACATACTTATATAATGCTATAGTAAATGCTGAAATATCATGGTTAAATATGCTATAGATTACGCTTAGTTTTGTCCCCATTTTTTAAAAGAAAAAAATACGAAACAAAATTCCCTTTATTTCTCCAGTTTGTAAAGAAAAATCAAAATTCCCTGCATTTTCAGGTGATTTTTAAATTCCCTGTATTTTCCAGGTTTTCTCTGTGGAGTGGCAACCCTGTTTTGATTGGGTGAATCTTCAAAATAAAAACTCATTTTCACTGCATACGAAATCGTTTAAAATAATAAATAAAAATAACTATTCAATTCCTTTCTAAAAAATATTTTTAAAAATATAATATATATAAAATACATAGATCGAAAATATATAAAAAATAAATAAATTATTTAAAAATATATAAAAAATTTTGAATTGAGTTAATTACTTCATTTTCAAAAATAATGAATTAATCAAAAATAAATGAATTATTATCTTAAAATAAATGATATATTTAAAGATTTTAAGCAATATTTCAACTGTTTTCTTGTATGGCAGAAAGTAATTCAGTGTTTTGATATTGAAGTTGAGCTATGGTATCACAGAGTTCTATTATTTTTTGAAGCTCGTTATTTCTTGTGTTAGAGTAATATTTGCTCAAGATCCATTAAATGAATGGTTATTTTGCCTATATGAACTGTTTTGTTGTAAGGCAGCGACTAATTCAGTGTTTTGATATTGAAGTTGAGCTATGGTATCACAGAGTTCTATTACTTTAGATTCAAATTTGGAAATTAACTCCTCTGATTCAGTTTTCCATCTTTTATTGATTTTGAACTGGGATTCTAATAACGTATGCAATTCTTTGCAAACTGTTTTGTAGTGTTGTTCAACTAAATGCAACATTTCATCGAATGATTCTCGTGTGCGATCAGCCTCGCTTTTGACGGCCGTAATTTCTTGCGCTTGCCTAGCTCGTTTGAAAGTCAACTCTTTTTCCAACTCCTGGCATTTTTTCTGGACGCTGCACAGTTCTTCATTTAGTTTCAGTTTGTCAGATAAAAACTGATGGAATTCTTTCGATACATTTACTAATCGTTCTTTTAAAATATTCTTTTCTTCCGCATATCTCTTGGCCTCTTGCTCTTTATTGGATTTCATTTCATCTAAATCAGATTGCAAAGACTTTACTTGAAGCTCACATTCATCTCTTGCTTTTTCAGCTGAAACCAGACGATTGCACAGGTCGTCCAACACCGTACCAGGAAAACTATTTGAAGTTTCTGCACTTAAAAGTTCCAATTTCGATTCAAGTGCTTTTTTTTCTCGCTCTGCTTTCTCAAATAAGCTTTGTTTCACGCCATTTTCGTTATGCAATTCCTCGATTTCTGCCATCAAGGATTTTACACGTTCCGAATTCAGCTCTTGTATTTCATGGATCTTCTGGTTACACCTCAACTCAACTCTCTGCACATCAATTCCACCCGAAGACCTCAACATTTCGATATCTTTGATATACTGTTCCTCTTTATAGGTAATTTCTTTTTTCTGTAAAATAGCCTCCTGGGCAGCAAATAAACTTTCTTTTGCATCTTTTTCCAAAACAGAGAGATCATATTTCAATTTTTTATTTTGTTCTTTTAAATCAGCAGCAACAGATGAAAGCTCATCATTAACAGAATTCACTTTGTCGAGTTCTTTTTCAGTAATTGATAACAAGTTGCTCTTTCCATCTAATGCTTGCTGAAGGGAGCTAAGCTTCTCTTGAAGTTCTACATTCTTTAATGATAACACAGATAACTCAGCCTGGCTAGAAAGGAAGTCCTCTTTTATCTTTTTGAACTCAACTTTCTTCTCTTCTAATTCAAAGGATTTATTTTCAAGCTTTTGCTTTATGTCAGATAAGCTTGACCTGAAATTGGATAATTCGGCAGATAACGTCATCATGCCTTTCTGATACTGTTCTTTGATTTGTCCAATACCTATGGCAAATTCCTTGCCTTCTGTTTCTACTAAACTCCTCCTACCAATCAATTGCTCCTCCAAGTTTTCCAGCTGTTGCATTGCTTCCTGCCACAAGAGTATTGCAGTTTCCTTAGCAGCAATAGCCAATGATAGACGTTCATTATCATTGCCTGATAGATCTCTGCGGAATGTACTTTCTCTTAACTCATTGATCAAGATTTTATTTTTCTGATAAAGACTTAAAATCTTCTCTTTCAGATTGTTTTGTCTAAATGATTCTAACTCTTTTTTTACTACTTCAATAGTATAAAAATATTCTTCAGATACTGGATCCATGGTGCCTCCAGCTTAAACAAAGTAGATGCTTCAATATTTCTCGAGTACAGTCAATCCTCCTTGATATACCTACAATAATTGAATATTTCATTTATGAAGTAAACAATAATAAGCATGCATAATAAGGGCAATAAATAGGGTGTTCAGAGGAGAATTAATTTCAAAATATTGGAAACAAGAGGCGATAGACGAATGGAAGATAAAAGAAAATCGGTATGTCTATTCGAAAGTTGTGAAAATTTTTCCACAGAAATTTTATTTCAAAAGTTGACGATAGATAATGCTGTACACCGCGTATAGTTCTTGAAAAGAGCGTAAAGGCACAAGACTTTAACTAGTGATCTTCCATTATCTGAAACACACAAAGTTTAATTGATTACATGGTTTACACCTCTAAATCAGGTACAACCTTCTCTCGAGTTTCAACGCTAAAGCTAATCACACTAATCACCTATAGCTTGCAGCGCCATCTGTTGGCATCTAAATTCTCAAATTTAAGAATAAAATTAATACAACTTCTATAATTAAACAATCATTTATTTCATTCCTTTGTTTCAAAGGTTTTTAACTTTGAAAAATTTCAGTCCTTCAATGGACACTCTGTAATACCACTCTGTTTATTCAAGGGTAATAATAATAAGTATTAAAGTGATAGAATTCAAGACTAACTTTACTTAAGAAATAAATAAAATAACATCAAAACGATACTTACATAAAACTACACATTTAAAAAAAAAATACATATTTAAAAAAAAAAAAAAATTAAGAGCACAAGCTTTGATTTTGATACATTAATAGTCTTCTAGACACTAGAGCTCAAAACTGGAGGTCAGCTGGAAAAATTAGAGGGACTTTTTATTCCTTGTACATTTATGGTTTTTGCGATACAGAACACAAATCCTCATTTCGGAAATAAAATTTTTTCAGAAAAAAAAAAACTGGAAAAACCTTATTTTCAAGAAAATAACTTTTTTTGGTTTAAAATAGACACTCTTTGATAGCATACATGAAAAAAATCCATACAAAATTTGTACCTATATCAGGGTGGCCACTCAAATCAGGTTCCTATAAAAATTTCCAGGTCAGCATGTTTTTTTCCTCATAAAGTGTAAGTGGGTACAAGAAAAGTTACAATATTATAAAGTATTTTATTTAAAATGTTATTTTTCTAATACATCATCTTGAGCCCTCATGGCTCAGGAGATAACGTGCTCGCCTTCCAATGAGGTGAGCCGGGCTCAAATCCCTGACTTGCACCCACTAAAGTGCAGAGGTAAAATATCCTCAGTGGTAGACAAATCATGGGTTAGAGTCCCCTTGCCATCAGGCTAATCGTGGGAGGTTTTCGTAGTTTCCCTCTAACCTACACAAATGTAGGTTAATTCCATCAAAAAGTATTCCAGGAAGGCAAATTTCTCCCAACACTTGATCCAGGAGTTCCTTTGTCTTCTGGATTGGGTTCAAAATTACAAGGTGACAGAGTGGAACATTAGTAGTCCTAAACCCATAAAACTGGGTCGGCTGTATATAAACTCTGTAAATAAATATTTGTATTTGATATAGCAAGGTACCACACTTAGATCTGAATACATATAGCAGCCCCTTGTATCGAACAAATTTAAGTTGCTATTGGTAGACTTAATATATTAAATGACAGTTAAAAAAAGTGTTTGCCATGCGCCACTTTTTTTGTTACAAATGCTCCCTATGTGCATTTATTATTTTTTAATAAATATGGAATTATTACGAATATTTTATAATATTCAGAAAATTACTTTATTTCATGATTTTTTTTAAAAAATCATTTCAGAAATAAACATTGTAATGTTCAAAATATTTTGTTTTGAGAACTGCATTATTAATATAAATTTTCTTATAATCATTTACAGTTTTAAAATTTCGGAAAAGTGGCTACATGTTTCAAAAAGTGAGAACTGTTATAAATGCTACAATTGACCAGTAGCTAAATTTCTTAATTTTGTCTAATACATATGGCTATCTCTAAGTATAAGCTTAGACTTAAAAATGGTTTCCTAATTTAAGTCTTAATCCGACTTTCTCTTTTTATTTTATTTTGATCATAATCAATAATTGACTTCACACCCTTTTCATATTATCAGGTTAAAGCCTTCAATAATGATGAAATCAGATTTTTTTTTTTAATATTCCATATTGGTACCCTTTCCTGTTTTTAATCATAAAGGGTTCAAAACTTACGAACATTTAAAACAAAGCAGAATACTAAAATCGACCATGTCAACCTTCATCTAACAAAAGGTAGACCTCAAGATAGAATCAAGTTAACGTGTCTTAGTGAATTGGCATTTAATATTTATAGTTAATCCACACACATGCAGAGTTTTGTACGGGAATGATTATGAGTAACAGTCTTTAAATTAGTCCCCACTACTAATAATCTACAACCATAGTTAGATATAGACTAACACAGGAACAATGTGCGCAGAAACATTGGTGGTGATCACTGTTGCCAGGTGCCGATAACCCACAGATGGCGTTGTAAAATCTAAAAATTTAAAAAAAACCCAAACATTTTTAACTTAATGTTGTTTATGTATTAAAAAATAGGGTGACCTGGGGTAATTCCTGATCAAAAAATGCAAACATCTATTTCGTGAAAAAACTATTCAAGATAGAATTTTAATATTTACTGGAAGTTTGAGGCTATATGAGATGAGTCCTATGCTACCGTCTTTTGTTTGAAAATCTAATTAGAATTTAAAGGATTTTAAATTTTTAGTGATCAGGAATTACCCCTTCTCGTGATCATTTCTGGGGTAATTCCTGATCACTTCTGGGGTAATTACTGATCACCAGTTTTTATAGTAAATGGGCTGTTTAAAAATAATTATACAATGGTAATTAACAAATAAGTCATTAAGATCAAACAAAAAAAACCAAAAATATATTTTTAAGCAGCTATTAAAACGTTTTATTTAAAAACAGGAATAAAGATTAACACTTCAGCTCTGGCAGCAGCTCTCACACTGAAATTTTCATTTTCAATCATTAAAAGAAATTCACTATTTTTGCTTTCTAGAAGCTTAGTATCCTTTTTAAGCTTATAATTTCTCACCATATTTATATTAGGTTAATTTATCAACTTAAAAATTATTCTAACAATGTACACACATAAAATTAAGATAGAAGCAAGGTAAGACAAGCTAGAAATGGTGCATATCAGAGCACATTTGTCTTGTATACAGTTAAAAACAAATTTTGTGATTATAGTTAAAATATATTTTATAGTTGTTCCACTTAATAAATATGAACTGTTATTTAAGAAAAGAAAATTAACTATTTATTAGCTATTTTTTAAACTATTTATAAGAAGAAATGACAATGATCAAGAATTACCCCAGTGATCAATAATTACCCCATCTGTAGGGGGCAACATTTGATATAGTTTCCTATAATCAATTATAATGTTTACAGTAGATGTGAAACAATTAAACTAAAGCTTACACTATTTTTATACCAAAGAAAAAGAAAGTAACTCAAAATATTTATTATTAAGAGAAGGAGGGGGATCTTTGCAGAAATGTGCACATTTTGAAATCCATCTTTGAAGTGGAAAATACAGAAAGCATTTTGAAAGATACTTATTTTGTTAGATTAAACAAAAAACTATTATTAAGTAAATATAGTTATGCTTTAGTAAAGTGTACAAGCATTCTTATCCATGTCTCAAATTTAAAAAAAATAATTTTTTAAAATATAAAACTAAAGTGATCAGTATTTACCCCAGAAACAGAGTGATCGTGAATTACCCCGGGTCACCCTAGTACAAATGCTAAATAATGTATAGATACTTTTTAACATTTTATTATCAACAAATTAATCTTTTTTACATTTCAATTGTTACATTATCTTTAATTTCTACTAAAATATTTAAGATATTTTTTTCAATCCTTTTTGACTCGCAAATTTTTTCATAAATATTTTATTATCCACAATCTAGTCTTTTTAATTCTAACATTATGTTTAAATTTCTGATAAAATATCCAACAAATTTTTGTCAATACTTTTTGATTTGTACATGTTTTCGCAGTTAAGCATTTTTAACATAGAAGAAGTAAGTACAAAATTTTGACAACCATTAGAAAGTTCATATCGAATGCACACAATAGCATCAGCTGTAGTTATAGACATTTTATTTCTCAATATGTCTTTAAAAATATTTAACATAGAGAAACATCTCTCTACAGCTGCATTTGAAAAAGGAATACTTAATAAAGCTTTTGTATGTACTTCTTTTTTTCTTTATCCTTTGGCATTATTTTTAAACCAGGCACATTAAAAATTTTAAATAATTTGAATTCAAATTCACCAAACATACAGGTTGATCGAGCTAAGTAATAACTTACTACACTCAACAAGAGTTATTAGAGTTAAGTTCAAAAATTAAATCTTAATCTTTTTGTTTTGGTATAACATATTGATTTTCATATTACCATCTCACACATTCAGTTATAAAATTTGATATTAGAATGTAACCAAAATAAAATTAGTAAAATTCACAAATAAGCATAAAACAAACCCCTGAAATACCCACTGAAGATAAAAAATCCCCCTAAATTTGAGGGGGATAACCCCTAACCTGGCAACACTGGTACTGATTCTTCGATTTTGCAGATACTTTTTTAATATTTATTTTAATATATAAAAAAGTACCCGAATGCACAAAGAAGTTTGCAGTGGGTGGATGGATATGAAGCAGATGGTGTTATTATGATTTATGCAAGGTAGAAGAAAGTAAGTATTTAGTTGTATGCATGCTGCACCCACAGAGAAAAGATATAACTGTCACTTTAGTCCAAAGTTTAGCGATCCCATTGTTAGGGGTGAAGCCTGCAACCAGCTGACTTTTTCACAGCTCAACTCAACTATCACTTTCCAAAGGAAAAAGACAATTACAAGTGACTGTAATCTCTTAATGTAATTTCGTTTGGAGCAAAATTACTAATATTACTTAATATGATAATTACTTTACATGAATGTAGTTAATATGTATAACTATTAATATTAATCTGCATGTATATATATTTTTTGTCAAGAATATATAAAAATATTAAATGGTTAACTGATTTTGTATATTTAATAAAATTATTCTAATATCCAGGGGTGATTGTGAGCCCAACTCAACAATATCTGAAAATTTCATAGGTAAAATAATGAATGACACATTTCAAAAAAGTCTTTACAAATTTAAATCATTGATATTTTCAAAACATGAAATTCTAAATAAATTATATGCAGCATAATTTAAATGTATAATTATGTATAAGTTTACTTTTATCTCTAATCAAATTTATTATTCTACCAGAAAAAAATATTGACAAATGAAAGAGATGCCAAGCATAAATTCTAGTTCTAATATTTTTCAATCAAATGTACAAGAATTTTTCCATATAAATGTGATTGAAGATTTCTTGAAACTTCTGGATTTCCGGAAACTCCCCGATTGAGATTAGCGGAAAATCAGGAATTTTTCTGGGGCACAATCATTTCTGATTATCAAAAATATGAGCTTGCAGATACTTTTGGACTGTGTGAGCAGATACTTTGTGTTTTTTTTAATCTCATTATGCCTCAAACACAAGGCAATTATTTTAGTTCTAGTATGGAAATTTTACTGAAACATAAGATCAGCTTCATCATCGAAACACTAAAGCTAACAACACACAAGTGAGAGCAGATTCTGGAAAAATATGAACACAACAAAAGAGAATCGTTCATTAAAATATTGTCGCTAGCGACTGAATCAATTTCATGAAATTTTCTAAATTGAATATAATTAAAAATTTCTTATCTATGGCAAAAATTTACGATTGGGTGCCCCTCTTAATAAGGTGATTTTTTTAATCACAAAAAGGAAATATTCTCTTTGCTTTCAATGACGTTCTTGGTTTATTTATATACATATATTCGTTTATTTGCAAATCGCAAAATGTGAAAGGGGTTCCCGAAAGGTTTGGTGCAAAAAAAAAAAATAGTAATTCTTCAATTCATATTTCTTGAATTTGTGATCGAGGGATTACATTTTATAAAAGTTAGATAAAGCAACATCATACCAATTATATAAATAATTCGAATTATATTGCTCTTAGTTTCACTTCATTGAGGATATCTTTGTTTTTTAAAATGGTTTCCTTTTGAAAACAATAAATTTAGAAGGTATGATCAAAAGAACTTTATTAAAAGTAGATGAAAACAAAAACAAACCACTCAAAACTTAAATTGACGCCAGTTTATTTATGGAAAGCACAACTTTATTATAGCTTTTTACTTACATTTACGAGACTTATTGCTTGAGGCTAAACAAACAGCAGAAGGTCTGTAGGATGATTTAACAACCAAGCTACAAGCATATTAAATTCCTTTCCTCTAAAGTGCTTAACAATTACCCCGAACCAACACAAACCTGCCAATTTTCTTTAGTCTTCTTTGCAATTGTTATCGATGTGGGAGTAGTAATTTATTTCCATAGTTACAAAGTTTGAAAGGTTTTTTGAAGAAGATTTAAGATTAAATTGTTTAATTACTTTGAGAAATAAAACTATAAATATCTATGTTTCAAATAAATAAATCCGTCTGCTCCTTCAAATTGTTAACATTTTCTTTACGTATTTGATGTATCCGGGTCGCGATTTTTATTATTTAGTCAAGTTAAATATTGGTAAGCATATCAACGTATCAGTAAGTTCTTTCTAGTAGAATAGGGGAACTTAGTCATAGCTTTAAGAAGTAGGTTACTAAAAATTTAGTTCCATTGTTGGGTAGTGAATTTCATAAATATTTTTTTAACGCTAGTAGGACTAGCTAACTTTCCGAATGAAGTAGTAAATTTTAAACAGTATCAAAAAGGAAAGGAGAATAAGGTTTTTTATTTTAAATATTGGTTAGAGAGTAAAATTGGGTGTCTCTTGGATTGGCGACAAATTTCGTTAAATAATCCCGCGAACCGCAAATGTTTGAAAACAAAATTACAATTTTTTATGAAAAAATTAATATTAAATGTTTTTATGTGTTTTATTATTATTACGCAAGATTTTCGAAAGTACCGTTCCTTGGGACCCATAACTTTTTAATTTATGTGTTACTTACAATTTTTTGTTGTTTCCTAAACCTGGTCCTAATTAAAAATATTAGTCCCCCCTTTAAAGATTTACATGAGAAGTAAATATTTAATGACTAGAATATTTAGCAATATTACTGATTTAGCAATAATTTGACTGAGAATTAAGATGTTCATATGAGTTGCTTTTTTAAGTTTAAAGCTTGCAATATTTTCCATAGTTAATATGAAATACATTCTTTTTCATATACACACACATATATAATGCTGATTAGATCATTTAAAATAACAGTTCTTCCAAATAGCAGTATAAACAGAGTAAATCTGCAGGACTTTCTCTATAAATCCAAATTTGTTTGTCATTTAAACATAGTTTATTATTGTAAACATTCAACGTCATCTAACATGCATGTATCAAAATTTGAAAATGTAAAATCTATACATAAAAGCTTTATGTTTAAGTTAAATTTTATATGATACTAAAAATGTATAATAAATTCCTTAACATTAAATTAATCTTCTAAATCAGCCTATAATCAAGTAAAAATGTTTTTAAACTTATTCTTCATAATGATCTGTCAATTTGTCTTAATATATTTTTTTGATTAGAAACAAGTTTTGAAATGTTTTAAATAAGTAGTATATCAATAATTGTTCTAATCTGTTTGTTCTTTATTAAAAAAAAAGAAAGAGGAAAAATAATCTTCAGATGTTGTAGTGTTGCCATGTTAGAAACGTGCACAGACAAGTTTTTACATAAAATGCATACATTCATTGTGTAAAATCATTCATATCTATATTGTTTACACAAACATAGTGCATTATAATAGTACTTATACATTAACAGATATATTCATACGTACATATATTTTATACATACAATATAAGTGCATGTATATGTGTGTAATTATTTGTAAGTGTATGTATATGTTACTAAAATGTCCGTACACATTTTTTCATATGGATTAGATAAATAGATGTGAACATAAATTTTTTTGATACATTTATTCGTACATATACTGCATACAAAATGTATTATTATACGAAACATTATACTATTTGTACTATTGATAAATGATTATTCTTTAAAATACTATCTTTACATTAAAGTATAATCATATATTGGTATATAATTATCTTGTTATCGGATATATAGATTAATTGTAATCATAGTTACGTGTAATCATATGTTTTGATTACTAATAATCACGATTACAGTTGTAGTCAAAATTATGATTGTTTTTAATCATGATAACAAGTAATTGAATACTGTAATTGATTATTGTAATCACAATTACTGTTGTACTCCAAATTTGTAATCATGATTACAGGTAATTGATTACTGTAATCTATAATTGCAATATTGATTACAGTTATCAAAATTTGTAATTATGTTTGCAAATAATTTAGTAATGTAATAAAATGGATTATATTTTTTCCCTACTCTGATGTAATCAGACATTCTGATTACTTGTAATTGCAATTGCCTGTAATCATGATTGCTAGTGATTGATTTCATAGAAGTATTTATCATTAATCTATTACAGTTGTAATCGATTACTGTGATCTACATAAAACTGAATTATATGCAGTGTTTTTGTTCTAAACTGATGTTCTAAATTATGGTTTTCTGTCCAATTATGTATTCAACATTCTAAACTTAATCTTTAAACATAGATTTTTTTTTTCTTCAAAAAGGACGATATATAGAAACAGATACAGTCTTTAAAATACTCATTACAGACTAAAAATTTTTCTCATTTCCTTTTAAAACTAAAAGCATAACTAAAAATAAGTTTTGAACTAAAATTTTTTTCTCCACATTCTTTGTTTTAAAATATATTTATTTTAAAGTATTGGATATTTATAATATATGACTGTTGATATATTTTAACAAATATTGAAAAGCTTACAATTGAAGTAAATTTCTCAATAAATCTTATGTGTATGCATATCATACGTAATTTGTTTGTTAGATAAGTAATTTATTATATTTTTATCATATATTTTATTTTCTCTCTCACATATTTAGTTCTCTTACATTAAATTTTGTCCGCAAAAATCAGATTATTGAAATATGTTTCACTTCATATAATTTTATATTAAAATCTATGTATTTAAATTTATAAAACAAGTTGAAATTTTCAAAGAACAGTTTGGTTTGATAATTTAAAAATTTTTTTTTATTAAAAATGATAAAATAAGAAAAACCCACTTGGTGCGTATAAAGTGGCCCCAAATCATAACTGATCCTTTGTTTAAGATTCCAATTTAACTACAGTTTAATTTTAAATATTAATGAAAGCTTTTGGCTTATCTGAAAAAGGAATATTGCTTAACTTAAAATATTATGTGTATTTATATGGTTAATTACCATAGTTTTAGAATATTATGAATATTTATAACTAACAGTAGTTTCATTTTAGTTGGTGTTAAATTAATAATCACAGTCTTTGAGTATTTATAAGCACTGTATTTTCATTTTAGTTAGTGTTAAATTAATAATCACAGTCTTTGAATATTATGAGCATTTATAGGCATTGTAGTTTCATTTTAGTTGGTGTTAAATTAGCAATTATCATTCTTTGAATATTATGAATATTTATAACCATTGTTGTTGGTGTCTGACTAATAATTTTGAAGCTCCAAATTTTGAAACTTACGCTAACTTGCGATAAGGAGACACTTACATACATGAGATTCTTCTTCCAGTGGTCAGGAATTCGCTAATTGATTGTTTTGGTTTGGCGGATTTTCGCTATATTGAATATTTAAAACTGCAATGGAATCCGCTAATATCACGATTCATATTTATGCCGTTCGATTATCAAACATCGGATTTCGTATGTAACTAAGTTAAAAGTTACACAATGCTATTTGTATTCACGTGGTTTAAAATCTTATTCTTTGTATATTATAAATATTTATAGCCATTATAGTGTGTGTCCAACAGATAATTATCACCGTCTTAGAAAATTATGAATATTTTAAACATAAGTTATGAACTATTTCAGCAGATTTAACAAGATGATGGAACTTTCTCACAGTTTGACACTCAATGAAGAGGCTTTGCAACAAATTCAAGAGCCGAAAAGGCCAGTTTTTATTTTTGAGTGGCTCAGGTTCTTGGATAAAGTTCTTATTGCAGCTCAAAAAGTAAGTACTTGTGTCCATTAATGTTGTGTAAACTCAATGCAGTTGTGATTGTATTTCAGGGGTGTCCCGGAATTCCGGTCTTTTTGTATTATCTTTCTGGGTGAAAAAATTAGGAGCACAGGGCATATGATTTTTTTGGGAATACCGTGGAATTCCGCGTTTCTCAAGACCGTCCGTTCTCAGACTTTCTCTAATCAAAAACTTGTAATCCGACAAATTATTCCCTTAACTCCTCAATCTAAAATCCAAATTTTGATACTTATGCTAACTTGCGATAAGGAGACACTTACATACATGAGATTCTTCTTCCAGTGGAAAGGAATCCGTTAATTGATTGTTTTGGTTTGGCTGACTTTCGCCATATTGAATATTTAAAACTGCAATGGAATCCGCTAATATCACGATTCATATTTATGCGGTTTGATTATCAAACATCGGATTTCGTATGTAACTAAGTTAAAAGTTACACAATGCTATTCGTATTCACGTGGTTTAAAAATTGTACATCACGATTCGTATTCACGCAATTTTAAAACAATACAGTCACACGGTTTTCAAATCCAATTTTGTGATTCATGTTCACGTGATTTTGAAAATCCAACATCGCGATTCCTGTAAGAACTAAGATTAGTTACTATAACGATTCATTATTAGTAGGTTATTTAAATATAAATCTTATTGAGAAACCTTATGTTAAGTATAAAACATGTATGACAAATAAATTGATATTGATTTTTTGCACATGAAATTTTCAGGGTTTTTCACTCTGTAACACAACCACCCCTGCTTAATGGTATAACTTTAGGCAAGAAGTTTCTTCGAATTTCAACTTTTTTGAATGACAATATTAAGTAATTAATAAGTTAAATTGTCAAAAATTTCAGTTCATAACCAAAAAGTCAAAAATTTCTGTACCTAATTGTGGAGCTACACTTGTAAGTAAATGAAATATTTGTCCAATATTCAGCCTGTTGGACGAATAAATACTACTTGCTGAATATGATTGTCACAAGAGTCAGATTATGTGCGAAGATTTTCTGAACTGCTCAAAAGCTTTTATAAATCTGAAACTAAAAAGATAATCTTCGCAAATATTTCGCTAAATAAGGTAGTTTCAAAAAATTATCTTATCTAACTGGAATCTAATAAGAAAAATAATTTTTTAAAAATATTTTACATATATTATATATATTTTTTAAAAACATTTTCAAGATTTTATATTTTAAAATCTTGGTATTTGGCAAATATTTAATTGAAGAATATTTATTATGTATTTTATATATATCATTTTATTGAATAGATATTTTATAGAATATATATTTTCTTTAAAAATATTTTCCAAGATTTTATTTCTTAAAATCTTTGATTTTAGACTATGCCAGATCTTATTTCATTTTTCAAAAACATTATTGTATGAAATTCTATTAATGTAAATTTTTAACACTATAAGCTTTTATTGTAAATTTCTAACAAAATAATTGTCATGACTACTTTTTTAGTCAATTTTTAACAAAATGACTAAAAAAGTAGCCATGGCAAGTATTTAGCTGAAGAAGGTAGTTTCAAAAAATTATTTTTAATTAACTGGTATCTAATGAGAAAATTTTTTTTTTTGGAATTCTTTTACGCATATTATAGTACGCATATTACGCATATTTTTTAATATTTTCAAGATTTTATTTCTTAAAATCTTTGTATTTGGCAAATATTTAAGCTGAGGAATATATATATATGTATATATATATATATATATATGTAATTG